CCCCCTCCCCCCCCCCCCCCCTTCGTTGTAGCCTTGTTGAAACAATTCAAAAATGAATGAGTCGTCGTGGACCCCACTCCCACTTTTAAGAAAAAGATAGGAAAACGTTACAATTGTTTATAAAAAGGCCGGTCACCGCCTCATTTGCACCCACAAGTCCACAACACAAACATCATTTTGATTTATTATTCTTCTTCTTCCTCCTCCAGCTTTAATTAATTCAAGGGTATATTATGGGTGCTTGCTTGTCTTCATCCTCCACTATCGTCGATCAAAAGCAGCTGACCAGCTACGTCATCTCAGTTAATGGAGAGCTCCGTCAATATAGCGTTCCCATCAACGTCTCTCAAGTTCTTCAATCTGACATCTCTTCTGATCATGCTTCCAGCTTCCTATGCAGTTCCGACCGTCTTTACTTCGACGATTTCATACCTTCACTCGATTCCCAATATCAGCTTCTTCCCGGTCAGATCTACTTCATGCTTCCTGCCTCCAAGCTTAAGTATCGACTCAGTGCCTCTGACATGGCAGCTCTTGCCGTAAAGGCTAGCACTGCTCTTGAGGACCTCAACAATAACAAAAACAAAAACAAAAGCCGCAAGTCTAGGAAGATCATGAGTAAAAAGCGAATTTCACCCATGCTTCTTCAAGTTGAAGAAGATGATTATACTCAAACCAATAATAAGTCCACTGTCGGACTTGGGATTTCCATGAGATCCGCATCTGTCAGAAAATTGCAGCGATTATCTTCACGCCGGGCAAAGATGGCTGTGCGATCCTTCCGTAAGCTTATCACCATTCCAGAAGGATTCGTTCTTTTTTAATTAATGAGCAACTTCATTTTATATATTCTTTTTTTCTTTTTTTGCCAGATATGAGTAACATGCGATTCTCTCGCTCTACACGTATATAGTAAATACAAAACAAAAATATATATATGTGGGAGTTGCAGAGCATAAGATCAAATTTCCTTGTATGTAAATTGTACTTAATTAGCTTGTACAACAACAACTATGTATTACTTATTACAGTTTTACCAAAAAAAATTTATATATTTATGAACTGTCGTATAAGTTATAAAATAATTGACAATCTAAAATATATAATTAAATAAATTTATTTAAATTTCAAAATTAGAGTATAATCTACCTTTTTGTGCAATTGGCTGACTTTCGGGAGATCAAAATTGTCGAAAAGACATGGCCACAATTTAATCTGTAAATAGAAAATGAAACTACTTATAGAAACAACATATATATGTTTGAATGGTAAACAAAGTTGGACGTTGTATAAAAGATAATCAAAAATAAAATATTTTTTGAGTCACGTGACATGGCATATTTATCACAAGTCAATGTATGGATGATGATTTTAAGGGGAATTGGAGTAGAAAGAAATTAACGTGTGGAGAAGTCGTCGCTTACTATAATTCTAATTAAATGGGAATGAGGAATCGTATTGGGGCCAAAAACAGAACAAAACGTTCAAAGTGGTGAGGTTGGCTAATTAAATATAATTGAAATTTTAGGATAACGGTTTCTCAATTTTGTATTTAATTTGTTCACACCCTAAAGCAATTGGCGTGGTCCTGCATACCTCCATCAATTCCATTGAAAAACTGTTTAGGTGGGATAGGAAAAATATGTCTTTTATATAAACTGACGCAATTAGTAAATTTTTGGGGAGTTAAATTTAATTTATAATTTTTTTTACATGATATTAAAGATTTTTTATAGATGATGAGTGATTTTTTTAAAGAAAAGTTCATAGTTGAGTGTCGATTTGAAATATATATACATTTATATATACCCAACTGACTCATTGCTTTTTTAAAACAATAATATCCTTTTACAAGTACATGTTTGCACCCATTAGGCATTGTAAGAGGAAAAATCACATACTACTATATTTTCTGGATTTTTAACAGAAGCTCCTCACTTTCGTTAGAATAATAATGTCCGATTTCTTTGAACTTTCTCTTTCCTTATTTACTTTTTTTTTTTTTTTTTTGCATGCCTCCTTTATGTTAATTATTGTTTGACTTGATCACCGTTTCTGGAATGCAGCTAGTATTTCTTCTATTGCCAACATTATGCAAAATTACATAGTACGTACTATCATTTCTTCCTGCGTATACGTACGTCTAGCTCTTTAAATTGAATTAAGCTAGCTAGTACTAAAATTAAAATATGCAACGATTTTCAAATCTAAACTTATTGATCTGTGTTTGGACAAATCTAGTACAGACAGTTTTTTGTTGATTCTTCTTCGTGGGTATAAGTCTAGCGCCTAGCGGAACTGCTGCTTTGGCTTACTAATCTATTAGTACAAGTCTCGAGCCGACTGTAAGCGGCACAAATAAATGCTTAGGAGTCAGGACCCCTCCTATTTCTAATTAACCATACTACAATGCATGTATTTAATGTTAAAAATTCATCAAGCCATCCTAATTACTAATTACTTCAAACTCAAAAGTCTAAAATTAAAATTTAATTATTTGAAATAAAGTTTAAAAGTTAAGAGCCAGGACAAACTTTTCATATCGGAAGTTCGATCAGCCTGGGGGACAAGTTACTTTTTCTTTTTTAAAAAATTGAAGTGTTTTTCCTCAATAAAAATGGAGTTAATATCTTAAAAGATCATTGAACTGTGAGAAATTATCTAGCAAAGTCATTGAACTTTGTTTTGTATCAATAAAATCATCCAACTTAAGACTGTTATCTTAAAAAAATCACTCAATTACCTTTATCAATAAAATAAATTTTAAATGACAAATTAAATTATTTTTATGCCATGTAATCATGGACTCTACCCATAAAAAAATTATAAAAACTATTTATTTTTATACCGATTTTTTTCCCTCTATCTCTCTATGCCATCAGTTTGAACGCATCGCCCGAATTTTCAAACAAATTAGATCTGAATCGACGTCTTGTTCAAAGATAATAAACTACCCAGATTTTTGCTAACTTTCTTGGCATCTTTATTTTCGTACTTTATTGTTTCTTATTATTATTATATATATATATATATAGTGGCTGATCCTAATTACTGAGGCAGCTAATTGATGCCAAGCATCCTGTGTATTATGGGATCTGATTTACCGTTCCTTTCTGGTTTCATAGAGTTGAGATTTAAGTTCCTTTCGAAATTAATAGACTTTATAATTTTACTTATTTGTGGAGTTCATAATTATAATTATATGGCATAAAAAATAATTTAATTTATGATCTAAAATTTGTTTTGATGAAAAATGTACATTGGAGATTTTTAAAGATAAAAGTCTTAAGTTGAGCTTTCACATATTAATGTGGAGATTAGATTCAAAAATATACCGAGAGGGTATTGGATTCTATTTTTCTTAATAAAGAGAGGTTAATACAATCCATTATTAAGAATTTTGCTGTTCATGAACTAGCTATATTGGAATTTGGAAATAGGGTGACATACGTATTTTTTTTAATTTGGCTTTAATTGATAGTTATGCTCTCTAATTTTGGGCACATAATTAGATATTTAAATTGTACAAATAGACACATTAATTCTATATAGCGTTCTACATGCAATTTTATTTCCTACGCGACGTTTAATATGTATTATGTTATATAGAACATGTATATCTATTTATTTAATTATATACTATAAATCTAAATATGTAATTGTATACCTCAAAAGTTAAAAGGCAATAACATATTGACGTATTATGCCTTGAAAATTCCATGAAACAATCATACTAATGCAAATGAGAAAGAGAAAAAAATAAAACAAGAGAAAGAGTTGATAAAAAAAAAAAGAGTATAAAGTTGTTGGGTTAGACATGGAGGACCCATTTCTGCTGCACCTGCAGTCTTAATCATATTGCTAATTGAATGCCCCCACTACCCCAATGTCCTCACTCCTCATTTTTAAGAATTATTAAGTATACCTAGCTACTTCGTTAATGCTATACGTACACCTAATTTATCAATTCTACCTGCCTCCCTTCTTTTCTTCTTGTATTTTTATTATTACTTTCTTAATTCATTTATTTTTGCATAATTTCCCATCATGCGTCATAATTGCTACTAGTTTTCTGGTGGTGTGTTATAATTTATTCTTCTTTTTTGCAAAAAAATAAAATAAAGTAATTAAGTGCTATTTCATAAAAGTCTAGAGCTAAAAAAAAGAGAGAAGCAAAATAGGTGTTGGTGTGTCAATTTACAGAGAGAAAGTATTTTACTATTACTATGAATATGGGGGTCAGACTTCAGAGTGCAAATGCCTAATTAATTAGTAATAGTATATATATAATAATAATAATGGAGTAAGAAGATTGATGATAGTGTGTGGGCATTTAATGCATTTGGTTTACCCACCATCTCTATCCCTACTCCATCTTCTTTGTCAATCTCGAAGATATTACATATATAGTAAGAGCACTAACTACTATAATTGTGTCGGCGCTACCTAGCTCTGATGATGCGGCTGGAATTGGAATTGGATTGCCCCTCTCCGCCTGCAGCTCCTCAGTATTGATCCTCCTCCACTCCATCTCCAATTCTCCATTCTCCATTCTGACTGATTAACCATTTTTAATTTAACTCTTCTTTCAGTGCTCTGGATCATGTCCTCAATATGTCTCCCACACCAGTAGTAAGTCACCACCGACTAGCTAATTATTATTATTATTATTATTATTATTATTATTATTATTATTATTATTATTATTATTATTATTATTATTATTATTATTATTATTATTATTATTATTATTATTATTATTATTATTATTATTATTATTATTATTATTATTATTATTATTATTATTATTATTATTATTATTATTATTATTATTATTATTATTATTATTATTATTATTATTATTATTATTATTATTATTATTATTATTATTATTATTATTATTATTATTATTATTATTATTATTATTATTATTATTATTATTATTATTATTATTATTATTATTATTATTATTATTATTATTATTATTATTATTATTATTATTATTATTATTATTATTATTATTATTATTATTATTATTATTATTATTATTATTATTATTATTATTATTATTATTATTATTATTATTATTATTATTATTATTATTATTATTATTATTATTATTATTATTATTATTATTATTATTATTATTATTATTATTATTATTATTATTATTATTATTATTATTATTATTATTATTATTATTATTATTATTATTATTATTATTATTATTATTTTCATTTACCAGATTTTGTTTGATTCTTACAGGAACCACATAACCATCACTCTTCTTTTTGCTGCAACTCCAATCATACTCCCAAATTCCAGGTATTGGAGTTATCACCTATACATACATTGCTATTTCTGTATTAGACTATACTTTGTTGTATGCATGAAAACTGCGATTCAGGATTCACTCTTTCAAGGAAACTCTTTGATATTTCAAGTTAAGAGGGAATTTTTCAATGATACCAGAGTAGTATTTTTTAGTATTCTGTACCAACTATTCTATGCCACAATCGACATTTTGTCTGATATTGGAACATTGTAGTGTAGAATGAGTCTGTTTGAATGTCCTGATTAATGAATGGTATTACAGCTTTTCTAATAGGCAATTCCTTTTTCAGCGCAACTGTGTTTCCTTGCAGTCTTCCATGGAATTGATGAAAGAAATTACTACTCTCGAAATTGAGATAATGCGTTTGGAACGATATCTACTCTCACTTTATCGGACAGCTTTTCAGCAAAATCTCCCACTTCTATTGGAAAATCAGAAAATCCATTCACAGGGCAAGATAAGCTCCCCTACCCAGTGTACAACAGACCAATCATACTCCGATGTAGAAATAGATACGTCAATATGTGGTGCGGACCAATATGATCGAATCTCCGCTGCACATGCTTTGACTGGTGTAAGTGATAAGATTCAGACTGCCAACAAGTCGTCGTCTATAAGGGTCAATACATCCAACTCCTAGACTTTGACATATAGCTAAATTCATACTATTATTACATTATATGTTGTTTCAGTTAGAATTATCTCACTTGTCTTTCCTCAAGGCATTAATTGGCTGTCTGTTGTGAACAACTGCAGGAAAAGTTAACTGATTCTGCTCACCGTAGCCTTGCGGATCATCTCACTGCCTCTCGCATGGATGACGTTCTTAGTTATCCTGATAGGCTGTCTGAAGAAATAGTCAAATGCATATCTTGTATATACTGCAAATTTGCCAATCCCAAAATTCTTGCTACAAAGGGATTATCAGTTTCTTCTACTTCGTCATTATCATCATCAAGCACATTTTCTCCGAGAAATCTTTCAGGCAGCTGGAGCTCACATCACAATGAGGAGAGCACTGAGCAGTATGAATTTGAAGTCTGTAAAGATGACAACAGACCATATTCTACAATGATAGAAATTTTGAAGATATGTCTAGATGATGATAGTTTCAATTATGCCACAACAATGCTGCATAAGTTCAGGTTATTCACAACGAACACAAGTAGTTCAAATTTTGATATTTTAATGATATTTCTAGAGTTAAAGAGTACAAAAATCTTAAATACCTGCTAGTGTGGACTTGACTAAAAAGCATGTTAAGAACTGTTCGAGAAGCTTAATTGACCAGTTTGAATTTGTCATCCTTTGCCGTTTACTAATTTGAAAGCTGTAAAATGTGCCATCTGGAAAAATATTAGTTGTAAATTGTAAGTTCTACTGCATCTGAAATTGTTTTCATAAATACTTGTCACTTCTCTCCCTCCTTTCTCCACCAATCAAGGCTAAAGAGAAGATGCAACTTCTAAATGGACAAGTGACAATACAATCTGAATATACTCAATATAGTAGTATATAAGTTTTATTTTTACTACGTTGATGCTCTGCAGGTCACTGGTTAAGAGCCTTGAAAAGGTTGATCCAAGAAACATGAGGCGTGAAGAAAAGTTAACATTCTGGATTAATATTCACAATGCCCTGGTGATGCATGTAAGATTTTCTCAAAGTTATTTTTCAACATTAGCTTAGTAACATTTTACCCTGAAACAAATTGATATGGATTATCCAGTATTGATGGAAAACATATTGCTTACCAGACTACAAAATCATCCAAGGTGGAGCTATTGTTTTGGAATTTCAACCTTTTCATTTATTCTTTTCATACTCTTGTTGGGAGGTCATGACACTCTCAGTTATACTTCTCGTCGTCAGTGCCATACTAGGGTTAAATGTGTTGTTCAAATAATTACATATGAAGTGCTATTCTGGAATGCATTATGCGTCCTTTCAATTGGCTAAGTACGTAGTATACTTTATACTAGCATCAACTATTCTTGCACTCATTGCTCAAGACTAGCATTTCAATTGGTCTCCATTTGGGGATTACAGTGTTTCTCTTTCTTTTTAATTATTTAATTCATCCTATTGAGGCCAGTTATGAGGTACTATATGACTTCTTTTCAGGCTTATTTAGCCTATGGAACTCAAAATTCTGTCAGAAGTTCTTCAATCTTGAAGGTAAAAGGAATAGCCCTTATCTTTTTTTTTTATTCAAGAAATCTGAGTTTGTCGTAAAACTACTGCAGGCAGCTTATAATGTGGGTGGCCATTGCGTAAATGCTTATGTCATACAGAGCTCCATATTAGGGATACTACCACACTATTCTGCACCGGTATGTTGAATGCTAAGTAACATCCATCCTATTCTAAGATCATCTTACCTTCTCAAAAAAAAAAAAGAAGAAGCATCCTATTACTAGATTGACATGCCTGTGTCATCCCATGATAAAACTATATACTATGTTTCTTAGCATTTCTAGCTACTTCTTCTTGTTTGACAGCTGACTTGCTTGTGGAGCATCAACATTTTATTCTCTTAATTAGTGAATTGTTCTTCAATGCTATTTTAGTTAGAGAAATGCTTGAAATTATTTGCTTAATATTCTGAGCTCATCTGCTTGAGAATGGTCTGGACTGACAGGGAGAGATAAAAATAAAGTCAAAATATTATCTAACATCTCTTCTCCGTCAGTAATTTTCCTACTATTTTGATAATTGGTCTAGTTTTACTACTGTTGTTCTTGGGAATTGCATTGGTATTCTGGACAAACATGCAGTCATGATGCTGTTTTTTTAAGTTCATTAGAGCATGTTCTCTGCACAACAGCATAGTGACTATAATATGATCTTCATGAGAAGAAAAGAAAGTGCTAGCGTAAACAAACAAGTATATCTTGTTAAAACATAATTATTCTTATCCAACAATTTTTTTAGTGAGTGGTTCCCACTTCCCAGCAGTTTTGCATCTCCATTTTGTAAGTTTTACATTCAGATCCTATTGATATGAGTTTGGCTCCCCCGTATGAACTACAACCTCTGTTTCAATTTGTTTAACCTACTTTCTTTTATAGTTCATTTAAAAAAAGAATGACTCTTTGGTACATTTGACATATTTTAATTTAAAACCACAAAATTCAAAAGTCATTATTTATTTTCTTAAACTGTGTCAGGTCAAAATAGGTCAAACAAATTTAAACGGAGGGAGTAACAGTTTAAATACAAAAGAGTGGGATAGGGAAAAATAATTGTTTAAAATGGAGGAAGAGGATAACCTTTGTAGCATTCCCTGCTATCATTGTTCTAGATTCTATTAATTCTGCGTTTTATGGACTGGATGCTTTCTCTAATTAAACATGAATGCAGTGGCTACGGACGCTCTTTTCTCCAGGAAAAAAGTTTGCGACAGGAAATTGTAGACATACCTATGCGATTGAGTACCCTGAGCCACTTGTTCACTTTGCATTGTCTTTGGGTGCATCTTCTGATCCCTCGGTAATGTTCCTGCAAGCTATTAGTTAAAAAAAATCATGGACTTCGCATTTCTAGTATGCATTTTTAATGCAATCTGCTGGGCACGTGCAGATTCAGGTTTACACAGCGAAAAACGTATTTCAGGATCTTAAAGTAGCTAAAGAGGAGTTTATACGGGCTACAGTTTGCATTAACAAGGACAAAAGGATTTATCTGCCTAAAATCATATGCTATTTTGCAAAAGATATGTCCCTGAGCACGGATGAAGTAGTTGAAACTGTCATGGGATCTCTACCAGAAACTCAGATGAAACTAGTCAGATCCTGCATGGAGTACAGAGCTGATAAGTTAATTTATTGGTTACCACAAAGTTGTACGTTTAGATATTTGATCCAGAAACAAGTAATCCAAGGGAGATTATCTATTTAACTGTCAATATTAGTTAGACGTGCTTATATATATAATAATAATATTTCTCTCATTTAATTGCGAAGTCATGTAAGCATCATTATATATACTGTTGGTGTAATACACACCAACATAGACTCTGTTGGGATGTTCAGTAAGTTTAAAGTGAGAGGTGCATGGTTGTATCGTTCGGAATTATTCCTTATTATATATAGAAGCGGCTTAGAAGCAGTTGAGCGTTGTCTTGCCAGCTTGCTTTCAAGGGCTATTTTCGTCATTCAATCATCATCTGACACATGTTGAATCCTTAAGGCAACTGTCGCGTTTCTCTAACTTTGCACACGTTGTATAGTGTTTTGGTTTTGCCTGCTTCTCAGAACTTCTTCATCATCTCAGTCTTCGATCTCTTACCGCCGTTTTGTGCTAATTTATAGAAGCAGCTTGGAAGAGATTTCTTCCCAGTACCAAAAGTTCCAGCTTCTGCTTTGTGCCGCAGAGGTTAGTTTGCATTGTGGGAATAATTTCAAGTGCATTGTGCATGCAAAAAGTGCTCTAGAGATGCAGCTTCCAGATAACTACCTCTTCTTTGCACACTTGCTACTGTGTCGTGCCTATGCTGTCGAAGATAATTATTCAGGGCTTCATGAAGAGTACATAAGGTGCTTGGAGCACAAAACTGATAATCATATTGGTTGGATTTGTCTTAAGTTTCTTGAAAGTCGATACAAACTGCAGTCAGATTCCAGTTCACTAGCCTTGGCCTTCAAGAGTGTGGCAAAGAAATAAAAACTTCGTGGAACATGTGGATTGCTATGTATAATTTGGTTCAAGGTCTAACTGCAGTTTGGAATGGGGAATTTATTGATGCAGAAGAGTCCCTTGCGCAAGCTTGCTTGTTGGCTGGTGGCGAGAGTTGCCTTTTTCTTAGCCATGGTAACATTTGCTGAACAATTGTAAAACTTACTTTAATATGCTTAAACTCTTTCCTATTAACTGACTTTTTGGCAGAAGTGTATTTTCCCATTCAAAAGCTCTTCTATTTCTCTCTGCAGAACCCACCATAATAAGTGCCCAGGGGTTGCATTCCATCGTCTGCATTTTCTTCCATCTATATCCATCTTTCTTTCTTACCCTCTGTGTGTCTATTAAAGTCTGATGGTCTTTTTGGTCCGATTGGTAATGAGAATTTGATTATTCAGGTGTTATTTGCATGGAGATTGCCAGGCAGCAGTCCGATTCAGATTTTTTATCACTTGCTATTAGAAGTCTGAAGAAAGCAAAAGACAGTTCTTTGATGCTGCTACCCTTTGTCTCACTACTGGCACCAGCAGAAGTTAGCCTCGGCTCTGAATCAAAGTGGGTAAAGAACCTCATTGAGGAATGGTCATCTTAGCGGCCAGGTTTGATATTTTGTCCTTTGATAATTCATTTATATTTTATTTAGAGCAGTTAAGTTTTGACTGTGGTTGGCAACTTCGCTTGAGTCAATACCAAGTGCAATATCGAGTAGTGGGTCTTTCACAATCAGACTAACTGGACTACCTACACACTAAGGTACTTGATTGTGGAGTTTGCCGTGTAGCTGACCCTCTTAGTCCATTCTTGCCAGAGTGTGACCCTCTTAGTCCTTTAATGCTTTTATGTTTTAAATAAGATTTGAGTACTACTGGGGTTGAAAATTCTGACTGAAATTTCCACTTTCTTGTATAGTATTCGGCCAAGTTCCAATATATGCATCGACATATTTGGGAGAGTCGAGCAACCCTTCTGCCTTTATGGCAAACTACCCGCACAAAGAAACAACTAAAGGAGAAAAACAGAAAAAGAAAAGAGAAACCTATTCTCACAATTTGTGGCAAAATGATCAGTGTTGTCAACGGGGCACTTAAGATGAAGCGACGCGCAAAGCAAGTTGGGCACTTCACATCACTTAGGCAACGGTTTAGTGAAAGCATATGGCGTTTCATTTTGGTGATCCTGTCACCAACTGCCCTTTTAACATGACAAGGTTAAAATGAGGTGTCCGGGTTCTGTTTTAAAGAAAAGACGACTAAGAGCCTATTTGGATTGGCTTAAAAGTTGAAAGTTGGTAAGACTACTTTTAAGTAATTTTTAGCTTTTGGAGTGTTTGACAAAGTTAAAAATAACTAGAAAAGTTAATAAGTTAAAAGTAGGTACTCTCCTACTTTTCATTTTTTAACTTATAAAAGTTACTTAAGTTTGACTTTTTAAAAATCTGTTTTTTTTTCTAGTTAAGCCAAACGAGCTCTAAATATTAAATATTACTTACCACCTCAGGTTCTTCCTAGGGCCTCTGTTTTAGGTGAGGTTCTATAGTTCGATGGTTGTATTTTCATCTCCCCCCTTGATGTACCATGAGTTCACGATATTTTCGATGCATTAAACTTGGAGTTTTGCATGAGTCTTACGGATTTTGTTATTAGATTTGATGGTGTTTTGATTTGGTTTTGCAGGAAATAGGTTTTGGAGCAGTTGGTGTTGAAAGCGCTTGAAACAACAGAAACTTGGTAATAGACGAGCCCACCTACGTGTCGTCGTTCCTTTGACGAGCAGTAGGTGGAAGGCGTGAGTGATGTGATGAGGAAAATGGACTAAGTATGGAACGACTAGCAACTAATGGGTCGTAAGTTCTTTGACGAGCCGTCGATGATGAGTTGTGGATGACTTCAGAGAAGATAAGTTGCAGCCCATGAATGACGATTGAACAGGAAGGGTCGTGCTTAAATCTACGAGCGTAGGTCATGCTCGTCGATGACACCCATAGGAATTTTGACTAACTGCTAAGTGACGATGGCACTTACGAGCCGTCATTCGTGTGACGAGCCGTAGGTGACCACTCGTTGATGACACTACCCAAACCAAATTTCCTTGAGCCTTCCTTTTACCTAGTTGGTTTAGGATTTATTTTCTATAAATATTGATAGTAAAGTTTGTTTTTTGGTTGTTAGACCTTTTGTGATACTTTATTTTGGCTTTGAGAATTATTTTTGAACACTTTTGGCAATTAATTCTTGAAGATTTGTTAATGAAATTTGTGTTTGTTCTTCAATTCAAGATTCCGGCTTTCAATTATTCAACTTGTAAGTTGCATGATTTATATTACTAACCCTATTATGAGTTGTGAGAACTCAAACATGAATAACTAAATCCACAACTAGGATTGTGGGAATCATGAGTAATTAACAACGTAAAACTAATAATTAAGTAAATTCTAGAATAGTGTTTATGCATGTTGTTTTATTAGGAAAATATATTTTGGACTGGATTAGAGTCGCCACTTAATTTTTGAGAAAAATCAAGAAAACTATTATTTTCAAAAGACTAAAAACAGTAAATCTATTGAAAATTATAAAGGGTTCGGGGTTCTTATTAATATCCTAGGAAGGTTTTTAAAGCACCTAGAATATCCGCTAATGCGGTTATCCGACAATTAATTTATTTGGCTAAAATAATTTAACTTAACTTAAATTGAACAATTTTTTTTAGTTAAGACCATTTTAGGGGAAAAAGGGAAAAATATTGAAATATCATTTAAGTGAAGTATCTTTTTTTTTTTTGTAAATTTATTATTTTAAGTTTTAAGTTCAAGACAAAATAATTTAGTTAAGCGATTAATTCAAAATGGGTGTCTTTTAGGGATTTGAAGTTTCAAAACCTTAATATTAATTTTTAACAAATAAGCACGTAATAGCAGTTAAATGAATAGGGAAAGAGAATTTGGGCCCAAGTCTGGATCTGTCCGTCTGGGCCAGTACTTGGGCCTATTTTCATTTTTTGGGCCTTCGCCCAATTCTTGCCCATTCTTTGCACCTGTCCTAGACTAACAAGGAAAATATATTATTTCCTTTGAGCCTCCGGCCCAATTTTTCCACCTGTCCTAAATTCTAACAAGAATACTAATAAATAAAATGACGAGGGCTTAGGCCCAATAATAACAAAATACAATCATTTTTATATAAAGAGTGGGCCTTTGACCCAATCTTTTCAATTCTCCTCCACTTTTGAATTCTTCCAACTTCGAGACCTGTTCGTCGATTTTTATAGTTGGCTGACTCGATAAAGGGATTTGAACTTCCATGGCTCATTCGAAATGCAAGGGAAGAACGTGTGGAGTCCACATGACTCAATCCGAGGAAGCTCGTGCAAGAACAAGATAATAGTGAGCAATAATTTATCATAATGAGATTTTGATAAAATAGCTAAGCATGATTGGAATCATAACGAGAGGAAATTGAATATATTTATCCTAGAAAAGCAAACGGACCAAACTACTACAAGTATCCACGGGCTAACACTTATGTAAAACACTACATGAAGCAATTATTTAAAGATAAGACATCACGATAAACACAAAACTAATTAGAATCAAGGTTTTCTATAATTAAAAGAAAATAGAGACAAAACACTACCTTAATCATATATATATATATATTAAAAAAAAAAAAAAAAGCTTAACATTCTGTAACTTAGGAAAAAATGAGAGATTAATGCATTAATAGTAATATAATAAGGGAACAAAGGAAGATGCTAACTCATACACAGTTTGTATCCTACTAAAAAAATAAAAAAAAATTGGCCATCAAGATACAACTCAATTTGTATCAATTTTAAGAAAAAAGAAAATAAAATAAAATAATAATAATAATAATAATAAAAAAAAGAAATCAACATACCCCAAATATGCACATTCATCGAGATTTAAAGAAAGCCATATATTAAGACTCATGTCATGCCATTAAACAAATAAATATAATATTCACAATTAAGTAATAATCAAACTAAGAAAATAAAGCAGTAGGCATTTTACACATAAACCTAAACAAAAGCGGGGCATAAATTAACAACACGCCATGCCAAACAGTAAAAGGAGAATAAGATCGGGACACGGGGAAAGAAGCAGCCGAATGGATTTTGTACTTCACTTAAGCAACTAGCAATATTCTTAAAAAGAAACGGAAGAAACCACAGCTAAACAGATGGTGTTGCATTTATAATTCTATATCTTATTTAATCTACCAGACTTATAAGAAAAGTAGAACTCCCAGATATCACGAACAGTAAAAAAAAAGATTTTGTTTATTACTTGAGAGTAAAATTTATATAGATCATAACCCGAAAGAGGCAAAACCAACTCACTTAAGACATATAATGGAAAGATAAATCAGTCTTAAGTAGTATATGGTCCCAAATAGTAAAACAATATGCATATTATTAAGAAAAGCTCATTTGGACTAAACATAGGGACCATAATAATAATAAACAGCTAAAAACAAGCATGAACTATAGAAGAAATTTATAGAATGAACCCGCACCTGAACTTAGGAAATAAGTGCAAGGAAAACGTAGTAAATCCTTTGACCCTTCCAAAACACATAACAAAAAATGGAATCCTATTTTAACAAGCAGGGACATAACGGCATCATGAAGATTGAACAACAATTACCAATAATTTAAAACCAACACGATGATCACGAATTTGGGAAGAACACAACTAGAGAAAAACAAATTTCAACAAGCCTCATATCCTTTCAATAATGAAGATACATGATGCCCGTTTCGAAAAGAAAGAAAAAACGACTTAGACTCAAACACATCATATAAGAATCTCAGCATCAACAAGGGCGTCTGAGAACGCCTCATTTCGGTTCCTAAGAACAAAATAACAATTAAAGGAACTGGGATCGAAAAGAAGTTACCTTTTCGGGGGCAGCGAACAAGGACGGGGCGAGCAGAGGGGAGCAGCAACTTCGCACCACTACACGAACTTGACCCCGGACAGCAAATAGGGAGTCTGGATAGAAATCTGAGCAAGCTATCTCGAGTTCGAACGAACTTGTGATAGAGCGATGGATAGCACCAAAAGGAAAGTAAAAACTAAGTTCTTAGACAAGTTAAACTCTCTATTTCACAGCGTATTTCATATGTATTCAAACTACTCCTTAAGCTATTCTTATATTTTTGCTATATAAAAAAAAGGCTCCTCTAACTCAAAAAAAATCCTCTGTTCTCTGCCCAAATTTTCAACTCAAAAGAAAAATCCAAAATCCCCCCTTCAACAATGGAAGAAACAGAGTACTTATAGTGGAAAAATTAGGGTTCCAAAAAATGGGAAAAGGATCTCCTCCGAATGGGGATCAAGGCCCAATAAATTCAAATTTCAAAACCTTTCACCATTTTAGGGGAGACCTCTTTTTCTGAGGCTCCAACCTCATTCCGAAAGTGGAAATAGTGAGATAGACGGCTGAGATTGATTCAC